TAGATTGTAACTTTAAAAACATTCTCCTTATCTCAACCTAAAAATTTGGATAAATTTGTGACTATTCGCCAACATGCAGAAGTAAGGCAAGTTGTACGTGAGGATTAGAATGGCTTCTTTAGTTTATTAAAAGTCACAAATGAACTGTATTCTATATTCATTCAGTCGGTCACAACGTAGAACCTGGTACGTATGTACATCGATTTAAGTCGCCATATCACGTCAACAGAGAAAGATGAAAATATCAGACCGAATTCCATAGTAGTAGATATAGTAACAGTATCAGTGGTGATTGAGAAGATTAGGCATCAGAGGTACGACTCAAGAAAACATGAATCAGTGAAACAACAACAAAATAAAAGTCATGGAGAACTCGAGAGCTCAGAATTCGCAGAACGATAAATAATGGATGTGATTGAGATCTTGAACCAATTGATGTTAGACCATCACAATTGAAAACCTGGAAGCACTGGACGGCCGTTTCGTCTTATTGTGGGACTCCTCAGCAGTGCGCATCCACGATCCCGCGAGCGGGATTCGAACCCAGGGCCTTCGGTCTCGCGCGCGAACGCTTAACCAACTGGACCACTGAGCCGGCATCCAATGGTGATAGTTTCTAACATCAACCAATCCACGAAATTGCGCGACCAACCACAACCCCTATACTAGAAATAATGGATGTGCCTGTGTTTATGTGGAGCATATGTATTTGGTGCCTCCTTGTACCAATGTTTATGTATTTAAATAAATAAATAAAACTACTCCTGCACCACATAACATCGATCGTTAGGGTAGGTGGTTGTTCGGCACACGTAACACATCCGTGGCAGTAGTTGTGTGTACGTGGTCATGTGAGAGCATTTTAAGAGAGCTGAATCTTCCCACTCTCAGCCGTACCAGGGCACTTGGGGGCTTTTTGAATCTAACAAATATATGCTAGAAAATTTTACATTCTCTCCCTGGATTAGCTTTTAGGAGAGGTGAATTATAACGAGTAGAATTTGTTTATATTCGGCTATCAAGGCAATCCATACATAACAAATATTCCAAATGTCTAAATAGTGATTGATTTTCTCAAAGTAATGTTTTCAGCAATTATGTGTGATGCTGAATGATTTGCTATAGGGTTGAATCTTGCCAGAGACTGGAGGTACTCTCAAGTCCTAGCAGTTATGTAACTCAAATAATTGACTTTCTATTGATGGATTTTACAAATTCAAAACTAGTTATGTTAGTCTCTACACATGTATCATTCATGTAAGGCACCATATTTTTTTTCCGTACCGTCTTTATGTCACTTAAAGGTAACTGAAATACATTATAGACACTGAAGCAGTCTCGTTTATTTCAAACGAGATTTTTTATTTTTGTTTTCACTGTTATTATTTGTTGATGCTAATTTTCAGAATAAAACAGTTAGAAGCTGTTTGTGGGATAAATACAGTCAACAGTTCAGATGGATTAGAGTCAACATCGTCGTCGTCACCTTCATCGGTTGTTTGCACATCGTCTTCACCGAGCCACTGCAACCAGTTATCTTCATTTAATGAACAGAATATCTTAAAGTCTGGTAATAAAAGAGTTAAATCTAGTGATGTTCGTGTTTGTGATAATGAAATTCATTGTATGGTGCCGTCGAAAGTACTTTTTTTGTCAGAGATTGATTAAATTTGTTTCGTCGAAATTGCTCCCTATTTCTTCTTTTAAAAAAGTTTGTTTCATTTACCTATTTAGGTAAGAAAACTCAGTAAATGCGATTCACTTTATTTTATTTCATATTATTTTCTTTTCCAGGTAAATTAATTAGTTTCTTTTGTACATTATTTTATTTACCGGAATGTATATATGTTACTTGCTCACAATATAGTTATCTTTATTGACGAATATTTTTTCGCTTGTGTACACTGTTATAAGATAAAGCCATATTCTGATTATACATCAAATTTACATCATTTTATGAAATAATTAGGAATTGCCATTTATTCTCAGGAATTCGAGATCCATAGTGACGTTTAGTTACCCAACTTAAAGGTCTCTAGACGAATGTGAAGGTTGTACGATAATGTCGTATCCCAGTGGATTAACATTTAGCATGGTTTTATATTTATTGGCAGTCTGAAATGAATATTACGAAGAGGATCAGTTTGACTTAAATTAGTTTTAAATTATATAGTCCTGGAAAAATGTCCCCGATATAAGTGAAGAATGTTTCTACTGGTAAGACTCATGGGAGATGATTCCGTACAAATAACCATCAAAGGGTTGACGCTTTCTTAATAGCACTCCATTTTCTAAGATTGTTTCCATACGAAAATAATCGTAGAAACTGGAGTACGTTTCCGATTAGTCATAAGTCAAAGGGACAAAGGGCAAGGCGGACATATTTCACACTCAAATGTTATTCGCTTTTTTACTGATCAACTTTATTAGTATGCGCCCCTATTGGCGTAAACCTTTCCATATGAGGTCGATAAAAGACTGCACCTAACAATCCATATTTATTTGTTGAAGGCAGTATTTTATGAGAATAGAAGGGTATTGTTATAACGTGAAAAATAATTGCTGATTAAGGGATAGCGAATTATTGATCGGACCAAAGACGCGCAAACACGTAGAACGACCTAGGGTTCTGATTAGTCTCGCTTCCCTGTATAGCCCAGCCAATTGAGTCCAGAACGCAAGTCACAGCCTCGGATATATGAATCATTATATTTCAAACATACTTTGTTTATATACCAGTCAAGCAGTCCACAGCGTACCATAAAATAGAAGATAACATTGTACAATAATGGCCAACAGGAAAATAACACGTTAAATAAGTATTGACCAATAAGATGATACCATTTCATGTCCAAGGATAGCATTAGGCTTAACAGGATAATTTTTGGGATATTTCCCTGAATATCCCAACAGGTGTGCATGTTAACAGTGCGATGGATGTTTGTCAAAGGACTATGTTGTCCGAGATAGTAGTTAACTATTTAATTCTCACAGGAAATAATGTAGACACTCCTATTATCTCAAAATAATTAACACGATTAATTCTTGTGCCAAAATCATTACCTTACCAATATTTAAGAAGATCGCGTTTTTATTCTGTCACTAATTGTTTCACTGACCCAATAATGTTTCAATCTTTGCTTTGCACTTTAACTAATAACTGATAGTCTACTTCTTACCCAATATTAACTTCACTTCACAATTAAAACGGAAAGTTTTCAAGGTTCACACGATACTTTTATTTTAAAAAGCTATGTAATAATACCAAGTGTGGAAATTGATATTTACTAACCCCAAAAGCGTGTAGTACCTACTACTTAATTAATAATAAGCATTAAAATATATTCTGATATGATTAATCTGATGTGCATAATACACAGTTTTTCGATAAACAAAAGAAATTCTTTACAGGTAAATCCTAGATTTGTTAGTTTGGCGCCAGTAACTTGATTTACCTAAATTTATTAGTATTGTGTATTTTTACAACTTGAAGATGGTTTTCATCGTGAATTGGCATTAGCTGAAGAATCATCGAACACTACGGAGAATGAGAAATAGTGTTTGCACGACTTATAATTTTTCTTACTACAACCCAGCTACTTGTATGGCTTAGTATTGTTGGACATCACTTCACTCGACAAGTCCCCAAATCAGAACATGATTGGATGGGAATAGTAATCACGGTAAAAACGCTAGTATGCTTATAGTTTTTACATGAGAAGATTTTAGTATTTTCAAAGCATCTTCTAGCGCTGATTGGGTGAATAGCCAATCAGTGTGCCCTAACATAATCCTGCACGAAACGTTCTTTAATCCGATCTACATCCCACTAGCACATTTGAGCGCACGAGATTGACGCCAAAGACCTTAGGGTCTCACAAGAGCACTTAGACCGTTAAGTTTAGGGATTAAGTCTACCTGAGATAAGGGCGATCATTAGTCACCGTAATAATTGAATTACTGCTTAACTCTCGATCTGGTTTATTCCATTTGTCACAAATTCCTATTAGAATTCTCGAACCCAGTCACTAGTGGCTATTTCCATGTGTCAGTCACTATGAACAATACGGAAATTCGTTTAGTTCACTAGAAACATTCTTTTTTCGAATCCGCAAGAAAACTAGTATTGCAGCCTCAAAACAGTACAACGATGGTTTCGTTCTAAATATTACCCGACAATTTCGGAAAGTTATGCTGGTCGTTTATATAGATAGCATTTAAATATGAATAAGTAACCATAATGAAGCAATATATAGAAGAATTCAAGTTCTATTCATGACAATTTGGATCATATTGTTAACTAAGATAATTTTCCATATCCTTTCAAGCAATTTCTTCGGTGAATTAGGACGCTGTTACTTAGTAGTCAATGCAAAAATGAATTACTACAAGAAAATTAACACAAATAGAGGGAATATATAATTTTTACATCGGGTATTGTATCTTATAGGCTTAGATAGCATATGTCATGGTAGAAAAGAAAATAAACTCGCGATAGTAAATTCACCATTAAACAATGAACCCAAATATTCCATATATATATACCAGTTTTCATTTGTGATTGTATAGAATTTCACAAGTAATGCAGTGTGAAAAAATAAACAGTTACAAGAAATTAATCATTCGGATAACGATTTCGGCTGGTTATAAGACGATAAGTACATAACCAACTACTAAATAATACTAGCAGATTAGAAACGGTCATAGTTACAATAGCATGAATAAATTACAGCAATTAGTATAATCCGGTACAGATACAAGACTAGACAAAATGTTTGCTACAAATTTTGATTTATCTATGTACAAATTAACAAAGAGAAAACATGCAAATCCGATGAAATGAACAAATCTAAAAAGTGAAGTAATGGAGACTGAAATAATTTATGGTATTATGCGTATATATATGTATACAGGTAATTAAACCGATTCAAATTAAGGCAGGTAGGCAAGAAGATATTGGCAATTAATGATGACTTAATGGGAACTTATGAAAGGATAACTCAATAAGAAGCAGCAAAAGTAACACGGTAGTGATGAGGAAAATCAAGATCGTACACATAAATAGTCTCACAATCTGAGAGCGGAACTGATGAGATACCATTAACGTAAAAGTTATTATTATTACGTGGATGATAGTTTAATTTATTTGGTACCTTTACTAAACAGCGTTCAGGTGAAGTATTACAATGTAATTTTGGAATGATAAGTCGACGAACAGAACCATTTTTAATAATTGCTACATGATCGCCTGGCCGATTGTTCAACTCCATGTCTACAACACGTAGTAAATCAAGACCTGTTTCTGCTGGGGATACACCAGTTGCTAAAGCCATTGTAACATGAGCACGACAACCAGTTGGACGATTCACAGGCATTATACCAATATTATCTATCGGAAGAGAAGTATAAAAATGAAGAAATTTTAACAGTAACATAACAGTAGAAAAATATACAGATTAAAATAATCAAAATTACTCGTACGTCGGATTACAGAACTTATGGGATACAATTAAAAATCTACAACTGACTAAGTTAGATAGTATTAGGGTTGTGCTAAGTACACCTGCGGTTATCAAATATAAATTAATAATTGGTTAGTCTAGCCCAGATTGGTGCGACTTTACAGAACTCAACATAACCAGTTATAAGTCTAGAGTGAATATATTTGTAATGGTAATCAAATTAAAAACATATCAATTCTCTGCGTATTGAATTTAGCTATTTCATCAATCGCTTTGCCAAGTTATGTGTACATGATCTACTTGCCGATGATATAGAACTTGATGGGTAATTAGATTCATGGATCGTCAAGTTATCCATAAGACGCTTGGATTCTGGATACGACGGGTGTCAAAGCACCGAAAATGTTTTTGATAAAGGCATTTATAATGCATACTTTTACAAGTCAGCCAGGTAAATTGAAATTAAAACCTGAGAATATATGTGAATTGGTTCAGTTTGTCATATATCAGCACAGAGAGGTGAAATTATCAATATAAGCACCAGAGTTGAAGTAGTGACAACATCGGAGGATAGTTAGGAAAAATATGAATATACAATAAAATTTGAGAGGTGAGAATGAAGTCGTGGGATAAAAAAGATAATTTCGGAACTAACGACTTAGCGGAAAAGATACGGTAAAGGCATCTATACCACTGTGATTGATTTTGAGCGATGTCATACAATATCTTAAACAATCAGTTATGGAAGTCGAATGGGTCACAACCAGGTAGTTTGCACTTATTAATATTAGTTGAACTGCCAATTACTTCAAAGACTGAACCCAAGTTTCGGTCTGGCTTCTACTAGCTTCCTTCCAACCTGCTTCTACATCGGCCAACATGACGCATTGAGATAGGCGGTGGCTATGCATATGCAATATATGTCTCATTCAACTCAGGTAGTGAAAGCTTATTGGCTCATCAACCCCATTGTCACCTAGATTCTTTCACAAAACCAGAGATTACCTTATTTAACAGTTCTCTAACATCAAGCGGAACATCCGCCATGAACTTGTTCTCATTATGAAGACAAGTACGTGACAAATTTATCACCGATAGAATTCTATTCTCAAAAAATAATTTTTACTTTAAACTTCCCTATCGCCTTATGCCAAAAGTTCTGATCCCTAATTTGAGAGTTTCTGTAACAAAATGATTCTTTTTGTTACAACCATGAGCATACTTACGCCTGTTACTCCTCATGGAGGAGCATAGGCCGCTCACAAGCACTCTACATCCTATCCTGTCCTGCGCAATCCTTTCCAGTTGTTATTCATTTAACCATACAACCATGAGAGGTACATAGTATTCAGTGAGGGAGAAATAAGTCCCAACTGACCACTAATTTTACAGTTCTTAGCTAAGAAAAAGAGAAATCCAAGATTTCAAAGAGTTAAAGGCTTTGGAAAACCTAAGAAGCGGATAAAATGTTAATATCCTTAGATCTTATAAAGATTCAAGCATAGACGTTAATTTAAAGCCGACGTCTCATCAGATAGTTAAACCAGGAAATAATCTCCAGCCTTATGAAAATCATAAATAGAAGTAATGAAAATAATGATATATTTGTAATATTCCAATGAGTAAGAAGTAAAATTCATGACTGAAGAAATAGATTAAACAAAGTCACGAAACTTCAGGAATTTTATTTTCTACTCATTGGGATATTACAAATATATCATTAGTTTAATTGTCAACAATCTATCCAATAGCTATTTTATCTGTAGTGTCAAGTTGGTAGTTATACCTATGCATGTAAATGTTATAATCAAAAAGGATTTCTATGCTGTAAAGACTATTGCATCTGAAGTTCCAGATATCTGAAGATTTCCGAAGTATTCAAAATCCAATAATCTATTAACATCAATATTATATGGCTCTTTGGAAAAATTCAGTTTAAGTCATCAGCATTGTGCCAAATAATTCCAGCGGGTGTTGTGAATGTTGTTCTACTGTTTTAAGTTTGCAAGAAAAATAAACATCATTTTGATAGTGAAAGTCTACAAAAAAAGGAAAACACTAAATGCTCAACACATGAGAACTTAAGCTGCGGAAACAAAAAAAGGACACTCAGAACCTCGTAAAAAATATGACTGGGAAAACTTCCTTCAGCTGGGTGGCTCTATCATCGCCTGTTAAATTTAGCACTATGAAAAGACAGCATTCAAATTATTGTAGAAGATTCACAACGCCGTTACTGTGGTTAGAAATTTATAAGTTTTCAATGTACTGACTATTCAAACATTTCATGTAATAAGATAAAAAGAAGAGAGATTAATGTACAAACCTGGGAATACAACTTCTTGATCGTCGGCAGCCCAGAGATGTCGAATGACCTCATCATTTGGAAGTTTAACCCTAGCACCTATTGTACGTGGAGTGATCACTAAGCCGATAATTTGTACTGTGAATAATTTTCCCAGTAAAGTTTCATTCACAGATCTACGTAGAGCATAATGTTCTGCACCGAAGGCTCGACCACATCCGGCAAATTTAGCTGTTACATGAGGAATACTAGGTGTGTTGCAAGTTTTCAAACCAGTCCCGAAGTCAGGTATTGTAGCGGATTCCCAATGAGTTATTACATCTTGTACAGTTGCATCTAATAAAGAAAATAATAAATGTGCAATTATTCAACTTCTGAAATACTCTGATTACTGTTAACATAAGTTCGAAATCATTACATGAAAACTATAAAAAATTACATAGTACCAAAACACAATAAACAATATTGGAGTATAGTTAAACGTGCAAGATATTACGACGATTCATCGTCAAAACAAATTTCTTACGAGTGAAATTCCCCAGCGAAAATCTCTTTACAATAAAATGCTGCCAACTAATGCCTAATTGTATGAGATACTTATTTAACCCTTAGTATTTTTTCTCTATAAGAAACGACCCCAAGTCAGTCAGTTACAACGCAGGATTAGGCACATATATGCATCGGTTCAAGTTCCCATACTTCATTACCACATCAAGATGAATGCCGGATTCATAGAAGTAGTTAATTCAATGGCGACAATATATAAAAGAAAGATTGAGTATAAGTATATGATACAGGAAGAAAAAATTAGTTCGTAGGAAGAAAGAAATAAAGCAATTCCAATCTCACGGTTTAAGTGCAGACAAAAAGTGTATACACCGACACCACTATGATCGATTCTGAGCCATGTCACCCAGAGTCTTCAATCATTAGTTACGATAGTCGCGTGGACCCAAACCAAGTAGTTCGTATCTACCACCATGGCTCAGACAAGAAGTTGGTGACTTCAAGGACTGATGCCACGTTTTGGTTTGACAGCCTCTAATATTCTTCCAGCCGTCCACAATAATCAGCATTGTGCGTCGTGGTAATCGGTATTCAGGCATACGTAACACGTGGCCCAACCATCTCAGTCGATGAAGATTCACAACCTCATCAACTGATTTACCATCGTTCCCTAATACCCTGCGTCTAATCTCACCATTACTTACCCGTTGATCCCAGTAGATGCGAGCAATATTTCTAAGACATCTGTGGTCAAATATTAGTAGCTTACGAGTATCTTCTACTCTTAATGACCACGTTTCGCAGCCATAAAGTAGGACAGAACGAACTGCCACACAGTATACTCGTCCCTTAATTGATAGACGGATATCTCGCCTTCGCCAAAGGTGACGTCAGTTGGCAAAAGGTAAACGCACTTTCTGAATTCGTGTTGAGATTTCGTCAGACACCAACTCATTAGGGCTGATCAGACTTCCAAGATAAGTGAAGTCGTCAACGCGTTCGACTACTTCATTCCCTATCCTTAGTTCAGGTGTTGACGCAGACCACTCCTGAAGCAATAACTTGCACTTAGACGGGGAGAAACGCATTTCAAACATGCTGACATTGTTGCTCAGTGCTACCAAAACACTGCAATTTATCAGCGTCTTCACCAAACAGGACTATGTCATCTGCGTATTCTAAGTCGATAAGTGGACCTCCTGGAAGGAGCTCAATACCCGAGAATTCAGTCGACGAGAACGTTATTTCCATCGGTAGGTCTATGATGAAGTTAAACAAAAATGGAGAAAGTGGACATCAATGCTACGAGATTTTAGAGTCCCAGCCAAGGACTTCTGCTGGCCGATTTGACATTGGGTGAGCCCGTTAAAGGCTCCAATGTGTAGTTTGGAGCGAAATTTCAGTAGACCTGGGACAGTGTTTTGCACACCAGAATGGTTAGCCATGACGATAATTGAGGAGGAAGCCAGAAGATGAAGTTTAGAGTTGAAAGTCGATATAGGAGGAATAGTAGGAAGTGAAGAGGGAGGTTGATTATGAATACAGTGGTCTTGAGTGATGTTAGAAGTGAGGGTGGTTATCAATTCCCGGTTGCCCACAACACGGAAGGGTTCTTCTGGAGGTACCTGGAAAGGGAATTGGACTAGAGGTGGTCTCAGTGACCTGAGCGCGTGACCGCTGTCCCCAAGGGACAACTAATTGCGGTCGGTTACACACGGCCTTTTTGTGAGTAATTTTCTTGTTAGCTCCGTACTTGTTGAGACATTACCGCCAGAGACGGATATCCGCAGGATAAGGCGAGGTGTGCATTTCTGGGGTCGGACTTTTCTAACTCCACCCCTCCTTGTGGGAAGGCAGCATCGCTGTCATGCTGGTTGTCTGAAGGAAGCACCTTACTACCGTCACATCTCTGTACAGTTAGCAGTTTGACTTCACCCTCAGATCTTGGGTTTGCGCTGCTTTTAGTTTTACTGTTCTTCAACTGACCTGTCTGGCATAGTAGGATCTCGAGGAACGATTGTTCCAGACAGTATAGCTCGATTGGTTCATAACGATGGGCAAACCCGACCACCACGTCAAGGTAGCGACAACGACCCCAAAACAAATAGGAGGGAATGATGTATTTATGCCAAGTAGTTTAGAAAATGAATAAGTGAACAATTAACTCCTAATAAATATCGAGACCAATAATGAATACAGTTATTTAGTAAAATGAAAACACTAAGACAATCGTTTGCAACGTAGAACGCAGACAAACGTGCTTCGGTCGAAGTAATCACACACTGTTAGCAAAAGATGATAAAATTTCTTCAAAACAAACTCTAGAGTAGTTGAAGTAGTAAAAACATTAGTGGTAGCAGTGAAAAAGACTAGGTAAGGAAAAAAAAGAATTAGGATATTTCACAACCCAGGTTCCAACGGAAGACAGAGTAAACGCACCTGTTCTATAGCGGACGATTTTGAGCCATAATACCCGAAGCCTCTAACGATTGGTTACGATTGTCACGCAAACCCGATGACTTCATGAACCGGTGCCATATCTAGTTTAACCTCATCTAGCTTTCTTCCAACCTACTCTCACATTACCCATTATCGCATTTCGAGGTAGTCATTATATGGGCATATGTAATACATGTCCTAACTATTCCAGTCAATTGACACGTCATACTTACCTAGTACTCTGAGTTCAACCACAGAACTTCTAACCTGGTGGTCACAAAAATGATGAGAAATGCTATGAATACATCTGTGATCGAATACTAGCAAGCAATGAATATCCTCTATTCTTAATAACTGTTTTGCACCCATAAATAAAAAGAGCAAAGTAATGTTCAGAAAACCCGTTGTTTGGTTAGTAGACGGATTTCTCGCCTACGCTACAAGTGACACAAGTTGGCGAACGTCTGAATCCGTGCCGAAATTTCTCCAGAAAAAAAGCAAATCAGAACCATTGGAACTGCTAAGATAAGTGAAAGCAATCGACGCACTTAACTACATCACTCTGTCATTATATCAGGCGATAAAGTAGAATAATCCTGAAAAAATAATTCGCATTTGGAGGTCTGGAACCTCATCCTAAACATATTTTTATTGTTGCTTAACACGACCGGAGAACTGCATTTTCCCAGCATCTTCACCAAACAGAACTATACTGTCTGAGTAGTCTAAGTCAACATGTGAATCTTCTGGTAGATAAATAATAAAAGAATGAAGCTTGTAAAATAAAGCAAGGCATGTGAAGCATTCTTTGTTAAATGTGTAGGAGATATAACACATACAAGAATTATGAAGTCTAAGAAAAAGGAGTACCTTTAACTAAAATCATGATGAAACACTTTAACAGTGACACTAAAAACAGAACCAACCTTGGGGCAGACCGAAAGCACTTATTAATTCATGATGTACTCCGGGTAATTCTATAATAGTATTAAGAGCATCCCATCCCCATTTAAGCAACCGATTCAATTCCATAAATGGGTTTGAGTGAATAGAGCTTTTACGCCGTTTACCTGGTCTACTAACTATGTCTCGTGAAGTATCTGAGATGTCAAGTTTTGAATATGTTTCACTCGGTGGTGCCGACCAAAACCAACCATAATACAATGGATAGATATGTTCGAAATTCCGGACTTTAGCTTCAATGGTCTCTAAACTGACAAAATGTACATTACGCATAGTTAAAGTTTCCGCATCAAATCGCCATGGTGTTTGTGGGATGACCATGATTACAAAGTAGTGAAAACGACGAGCCATATCTGTGTAATAACGTGTTTCCCAACTTCTTGTGTTTGTGTTGTCAATAACTATTGGGCTGTACCCAGAACAAGCAGCATTATAAGCATTATTATGACACCACTCGTGAGCTTCACTCAATCGACTGGTGTCAAATTGGTACTCATAGCCGTTCGATTCTAAATAAAAGAAATCATCTGCAGAAAAGATCTGTAAAAAAAGATGTAAGCATAAAGATGGGCATCAATTTACATACATGTAATTAGAAACAGTAATAATAATGTACGTTGTCATGTTTTACAGAAACACAAGGGAAATTTCATGTAAATAATTTCGAATTCATTGGTCATAACTATCAGACCTAAATGCTAATTAGTTGCAATAAATATACCATAGCTCTTTCGAAATTTCTTCATCTGAACACTTTTATTTTTATTATCCTGAGGACCAAGGAGATATCCAAAACTAAGCAGTTCTGGTGACAAAATTATCACAAAGCAGACTGCCTCGACTAAACCTACAAAAAGGTGTACTCCGATACAAAATTCCTCCACATCCCATTCGTATATCAGCTGTAGACACCATGAATCTTGGCCATTTTCCACTACGATTACATTGATGCAGATAACTTTTTGGCAAGTAGGAATAAAAGAAATCGAATGAATCCTGAGTGGTTTGAAAAACAATGGGATAAGTTCTTTGTTGACAAAATATAGATTGGATTACAGCATGTTCGATGCAGAATTGTGTTGGGGCACGCTGACTAGCTATTTCTTAGCTAATCAGTACTAGAGGATAATTGGAGAGGATTCTAAAATCCTCTCGTGCAAAATTACAAGTGCAATAACCTGTTTTACAGTGAATTCTACTCCCGTCCAATTTTATAATTTAGAGCATAAGTTCGTTTCTGTTCAACTGTGTTCTGAATTGGGGACTAGTAGAATGAATTACTGCCCGACTACCAACCAATAGGAGTAACAATTCCATATAAAGAGATTTTAACACACTTGAATGCAGTTTCAATTGTTTGGTGACACTACCTGAACAGAAAGCCACCTAACAAAGAAGCATAATCAATTAAACAACATAGAATCTAGCAAAAACTTGTATCCATTTAAAACAATCAGTAAAACATACACTTTCGATGAAAGCATACCCACCTTAGCCATGGGAAAACGAATTCGGATGCACTCCGACACAAAAGATTTCCCCGAACCAGGTGGTCCGCGTAATATAAACATGAACCGAGACTTAATAATCCAATTTCCCATCTCGTCATCCGTAAGAAAAGGAAATTTTACATACTCTTTTATTACTTTCGGACCTTGCAGCGAAGAAGATATAGACTTGAGCTGACCAGGAGTACTGTTATTTGATTTCTCTTTGTGCTTTGAAACTGATTCTTTATGTACAACACTTGTGACATGTTCATCACTGTCATTAATGTTTTCCACTGATATAGGTACGGCTTCATTTTCACATAAAAGTTTTACGTCTGAATCATGAATTGAAGCATCTAATGCGGAGGTTGAATAACATCTGTTAACATTTGGAGGACAGAGAAAATTACATATATTTCCCATACTGTTGATCACCAAACAGTAAGAAGGTATTGGATTTTTCTTGGGTAACAGATAACTTGGTAATTCAAACTGTACATATAAAGATCTAGCATAAAAACTGGAAAGTTGCAGAATGTAAATATATATATATATATATGGCTGCAAATAAATTTGTTAAAATTAATCAGAAAAGTGTATTAATTGAGTGCTTACAACAAAATAAATGTTCGATGAATAGTCCTGGTTCATAACGATAGACTTGGAATCAAGCAACTGAAGACTCCCAACTGTTAAAACATAAGAACCTTGCATATCAATGTAATGATACACAATCATACATGAAGCGTAACAAACATTGAATCATAAGTAAAGCAACTGTGAGCTCTTCTATTAATGTTTACGACCATTTTACAACCTCAAGTGGTGTCGATCAATCACATATTCCAAATTTACCAGTTTCTAGAACACAGACACTCTTATCGGCGCCAGACAATGATAGTTCTTCTTGATTTAAAAGCAGCATTTGACTCTGTGGCAGTGTCTGTCATTCAACAGTCTAACTCAGAAGTACATAAACCTTGTGAAGGCACTTTACTCGAACACTACTAGTCTAGTGAGAGCTTATGGCGAACGGTCATCTGATTTCGCAACCTCAAGTGGTGTTCGGTAAGGTTGTCCACTATCTCCATTTCTGTTCAATTTCATCATAGACTTAATGCTGAAAACAACGCTCTCGTCGTATGAATTTTCAGGAATCGATGTCTCTTCAGGAGGTCCACATATCAACTCGTTTATCTTTTGCCAACTGACGTCACCTATGGCGAAGGCGAGATATCCGTCTATCAATTAAGGGACGAGTATACTGTGTGGCAGTTCGTTCTGTCCTACTTTATGGCTGCGAAACGTGGTCATTAAGAGTAGAAGATACTCGTAAGCTACTAATATTTGACCACAGATGTCTTAGAAATATTGCTCGCATCTACTGGGATCAACGGGTAAGTAATGGTGAGATTAGACGCAGGGTATTAGGGAACGATGGTAAATCAGTTGATGAGGTTGTGAATCTTCATCGACTGAGATGGTTGGGCCACGTGTTACGTATGCCTGAATACCGATTACCACGACGCACAATGCTGATTATTGTGGACGGCTGGAAGAATATTAGAGGCTGTCAAACCAAAACGTGGCATCAGTCCTTGAAGTCACCAACTTCTTGTCTGAGCCATGGTGGTAGATACGAACTACTTGGTTTGGGTCCACGCGACTATCGTAACTAATGATTGAAGACTCTGGGTGACATGGCTCAGAATCGATCATAGTGGTGTCGGTGTATACACTTTTTGTCTGCACTTAAACCGTGAGATTGGAATTGCTTTATTTCTTTCTTCCTACGAACTAATTTTTTCTTCCTGTATCATATACTTATACTCAATCTTTCTTTTATATATTGTCGCCATTGAATTAACTACTTCTATGAATCCGGCATTCATCTTGATGTGGTAATGAAGTATGGGAACTTGAACCGATGCATATATGTGCCTAATCCTACGTTGTAGTTGACTGACTTATGATCATTTGAAGAATAATTTTAACACAATCGTTATGATAAATGGCAACGAGAGTATAATTTACCAAACACACAATTCGGACCCTAAATTTTCTGGTACGGCTGAGAGTGTGGCAAGCCCACTCTCATCGAAAAGCTCTCATATAACTGTTTTATTGCTACAGTCAGGAAAGTCTTACTGATTTCTTTCTCACATCTGGAGCGCTGTTTACGAAAAGTCAATGTCAGGCGCTCTAATCGGGTTGGTGAGTACGGTGGAGTTGAAAAATTCTGAGTTCAAATCAATGGTGCACATGAAATACCGAACCCTGGGGGAAAAATGAGATATGAACTCATTTTTAGTAACCGGTAACAAGTTTACCGCATTTTTAAAAGTCGCTCCATTGTCTTGTGGGTTAGTGCTATGGATCAAACACTCGAGAAAATGCTCCCTTATGAAGTCACCCGTTTTTATTCGGGCACCCGAGGAGTATCCTAGCCTACACACAAATTCAGCTATTTGTGTGGTGAATATAAATATTATGGAGCCCCATTGCATTAATGTTTAGATAAATAACGAGACTTAGTTTACATAAGACAATAGAGATTTATTTATATAGATCACATTCAATCCATGTACCAGACAATAAAAGCCAGTAATTATCCACTCTGGGTGTTAAGTGAGACTGTTACGAGAGTTTAGGACTTTTATAACATCTCAACATTTTTCACAACAACAAAATAACCATGACATCACAAACCAATCACTTTTGACGATAAGAAAATAAAGGAAACTAGCATTGGATAGTGTGCCTCCACTACGGTATTTCGTAATGATGTTAACTTTGAAAAACATCAACGTCAAGGCAATCACAGTGGATCTATGGATTGTGGTTGACCTAGTTCAATTATTCAGGGGATACTAAAATGATAAAAATACATGAATCATCAAATATATGTGGCGTTTGACCGACGTGTTTGACCAACAGCCCTGCAAAACTACGGGAAACACCTGAAAACTTTTTCTAGCAATTTCCGCACCGATAAAATGATAGTTACCTGAATCTAATTGCCTAAGCAGAGGAACTAGTGACAAACGTATAAAACGTACTAGACTTTTAACAATCAGATCTTAGATTATAACCCGGACTTAACCTACTTTCGTCAAGGAAGCCTGGTAATAAATCTACCCACCACGGTGTGGACTGAGGCACAGTACATACACCTGAACTTAATAGTGAGCAGAAATCCTAGATACTGTGATGAAACTCGAGACTAATTACTTTGCTTCCGTCATTCTGAAAACCAAACGCTTAATTTACTTCGGAAAATATTCAAGCACAAAAATTGATGCACTCGAAAACAGCAAAGTGAACCATTCAAGATTAAAATGAGAGTCTGGATACTTCAAGTAAACTAACTTGTATACATAGTTCTAGATATGTTAGTGACGCAAATGTAATCGGACTGGTAACTAACATATTCTTAGCACCATCAAGAGGTCTGCAAACTACAATCTAACTAAAAAATTACTATGGTTAACGATTGAGACACATAATTAGTAAGTCTGTAATGGGTAGCTGAAAAGAAAGTCACTAATCTCTAAATTAGAAACCTAGAATACACGCATTAGAGACTACGGGTAGCACAAGGTACAAATAGGATGAACGTGAGGCTATTAAGCTGACTATTCACATTGTATCACTTTCACTCTAAGTGTCTTGTTAAAAAGGACGTCGAAATCACCTCAGATGTGAGGTATCTAAAGACGATTGTACCAAAAACATGAACACTTGCATTTCGGTCATCTTGTGAGGGTATTATCAAGGTGATAGAATAGACTTAAAAAACCATTCAGGATCTTGTACAGACATGATGTAATTAAAAGGGTTCATTTATCCACATATATGTCACCTATATCCCAAATCTACAAACTTCAGTAAAATTTTTGAGGTCCCAGGAAACATATATAAAAAGAATAAGTAACAATAAGAAGCCGATTGGCAAACATGATAACTCGATGATTTCGAACAATTTGATTCAAATACTTGCAGTCGTAATATGTTTCCATGTTCGTTAGCAGCAGATCACTGATACTCCGAGTACATACAGAGGTTCGTGAAACAAGAAATGTATTTGTAGCTTAGCTTGACATATTGTCTTATATTTGTGGGAAGGACTCCAATGCAGTTAGTTGGGTTAATACAGCCAAATGCTAGTTGCGGTAATTACCTCAATCAGTAAAAAAACTTCAGTAAAACTATTCTGGGAAAGTAGACCGCGTGACTAAAAACTAGTTTTATGAGTCCAATTACCCAGCAGAAGCAATGTTGCTATTGCAATACCTAAGGTGGATTACGACGGCTTGAAGAACAAACCACAACTGTTTAGCTACTATTATGGTTATGATAAAAGCTGCAGTCGTTATTGAAACTTGTATTTGCCTTCATAAAGACAAACGTAGACCCTAACTTGAATTACTATGGCAGACACACTAAATAGTAACCTGCAACTCTTCACATGACGGAGCAATACCAATCGTAGCAACCTAACCATATGTCCCGCACGTTCTTAACAGGGAAATTTTTCAATGCAGAAAGTGTCAGCATTACTTGTCGGGATTTGTATTTAAAATACAAGAGGCAGTTTTGATTTACATTACGAATGTAGTCTATTTCTTTTCTGAAACTACAATCAGCAATATGCTAATTACTTGTCCCGGGTAAAAACGTCACCAACTACGGCTCTCACCACTAGAACTTTTTCACGAAAAAGTCAAATTTTCAGTACTCTTAAATAAAATTAAGTAGCTCTTCTATTTCAACACAAGGTTGCGTGAGAAGTGTGATGTATTGTATCTGTATCTATACGTCTAGAAATTAAATTTGCGAGCACAGAATGTAACGTTTTTTTATTTCAGCGACTTAAGCTGCTAGCCTTAGAGTGGGCGCTTCATATTTGAGTGACCTCAGGTCGATAGAAGATTGTGGGCTGGTTTAATTTAATTGTATGTGTGCTTTTACGGAGTTATATATACAATTCGTATCTGCCCCACCCCGTCCTAATATCTGGCGAGCCAATATTCCGGCAATCAGAAACTGCGCTATCTCGACTGATTGGTCGGTCGACGTGGATGGATTGATCGAAGATGAATGGAATAATTTTAAGGCTACATTCGAGTCCCTTACGTCGCCGTTCATCCCATGGTCAGCACGTAAGCTATCACATTGCTCTCCATGGATTAATAAGAAAAACCGGAAGCTGTTAAAGCGTAGGAAACATTTCTGAGACTTATTCTTGTTGACAGGTCATGCCCCATTTAAGCGTGAGTACCAAAAATTCCGTAATATCTGTAAGGAAACAGTAGCCAAATCTCGTATCACTTACGAATGATAGTTAGTATATGATAGCCGTACTTGTCCGAAATGATTGTTTTCGTATGTTAAACGGCGAATGAAACGTAGTGATGGTATTCCCCCGTTACCGTTACACGAAAATTCAGATTTACTAGCTGAATCAGATTAGGCAAAAGCTGAGACTTTTTCAAACTATTTTAGCGAAGTCTACTCTACGTTTATTGTAAAAAATACTTGTCCCACTCACACCGAGATACCGACCATTGAATTCTTACAGGTGACTGAGGAAACTGTCCTTCCGTTCATAACTAACATCAAACCTGGTAAGATACCGGGCCCTGACGGGTAACATCCACGGTTGCTGTCATCTCTTGCAGACATTATTTCCAAACCGCTCGCGACACTCTTCAACATGTCCCTTTCTCTCGCTCAACTCCCTTTGGAAGAGAAGATTTAGGTCTAATTTGATTCTCTACTTTAAACTACTCAAAAACCTTACTTATTCAACATATAAGATAGTTCTTGCTAGAGATTCACATGAATACGAACTTTGAAACAAAGTATCTACGGTTAAGGTTGAGAAAAACAGATCAAAAACTCGGGAAAACTTCTTCCTCACCAAGTATGCCATAATATGGAACAGCCTTCCCTCCGAAATACGCATGACAGATGAATTACATATGTTTGTAAAACTGCTTGATCAACCCCTCACTTGCATGTACGAACACATCTGTGCCTTACTCAGACATCATAGGTTCTCTCCATGTCTAGACCAAAATGGACTTCAAGTTCAGTTTGCCTTATTTTTCCTACTTTTCAGTTGAACTAGTTACTTTTTCCACCCTCATTTTTCACTTGAAGTAGACAGGTAATTCACTGAACCTATCGATACTGCTCAACTAAAATCGGTCGCTAAGGGACACTCACTACCACTCTCAGAAAGTCAAGAGGACCGCACAACTGATTGTCCACTACCAGTGGTCTTGCATCTATGGAGCCTGTTACCAATCAACTGGTTAGGACAGCACAAAATAACATCAGCACCGAGCTACTGTAAGTTTCTAACTGTTTATCCTGTATTAACTTTTTAATCTTCTGCACACCATGTTGACTAGCAATTAATATTATTTCTCCACTCGTTACCTTATATACAACTCATATACTCCTATACTTTTCCGCCTGTTTTAATAAACAACCATCCTACATTATACCCTTACTAATGCTTATACTCTGATTGGCAAACTATACTTTATACTATAGTCAACAAAAGCACTGCATCGATGCCTTACCCACAGTCCATAGCTTGTAACTGCCTGATAAGCTTGTAAAATGGTACTTATAGAAATAGTGTTTTCCAACAGGTTGTGAAACACAGAGCATTGTGTAGGGTATGCCACATATTCAAAAAATAAGCTTAAATGAGCCTAACATCACAAAAGAAGGGGGGTGGAGTTACTGACAAGCAAGCATTGATGGTGAGGGCGATAACTTCAATCCACCCGTGTTTGTGGGCAGAACATTTTGTATGTATCAGGCCCTTTATGATTGAGAATAAGTCAATCAACCTGCGATATAAATTTTCTTCCTACGCTCACCACTCAGACTCATGTTTCCAATTTTATGCTGGATTAGCTATTCTACTAAGACAACCTACAATATGCTAACTCGGACTTTTTCACTAGGATTGTGTGGCTGGCATCGGATAAACAAAAAAGGAAAAAAAGTTAGACGACAAAAGATATAGTCATTCGCATTCTTAACACTTCACCCTCTATATACACACCCTTCTAATAAACCTCTTCTCTTGTACCAGCCTTGACTTACTTTCCTTCATGTGAGCTTACTACAACTCGTTAAACGACACAACTAATTGTTTTTTGATACTACACTCTCTAATATGGAGCCTCTGAATTCATTTCACTCTAACAAGATATAATATGAATTTATTCTAATTTATTATACCTCTGTCCGTTCTACTACACAATGTTAAGCAACGTTTGACGTTCATATTCAAGTGCCTTTCTGCTCTTCTGTTTTTCTTTTTTTCTTCTTCAGAAATTTGCTCTGAGGACACAGCTATGAAACTTCTGACGTCTGGAACAAACTTGACGTGTCTCCCCAAGGTCACAGTTTACAGCAAGCGCCCTACGATTTCACTTTATAACAACTATAAACTTAATAAGTTGGGAAGCATTTTGCGAACCAACAAATGTTGTAATTTATTGATCATGCCTGTAAAAAATGGCGTGTACCTGCACATGCAGAAATATATATATTATCATTATTATTATAAAGACTTAGGAGTAGTAAGAAGTCATGATTTAAAAACAACTACGCATTGCAAAGCAGCCGCTGTCAAAGGTTTTCGTGCGTTATGGTCACTTCGCCGAGCGTTCAAATCTTTTGACGAGGAAACGTTTCGAATTTTATATCCCATATATGTCAGACCACATTTAGAGTACTGTATCCAAGCAGCTAGCCCGTGTCTGGTAAAGGATACTAACTCCCTTGAGCATGTCCAGCGTGTGGTAACGAAATTAGTGAAGGGTCTCTCTAGAATCCCTTACGATGAGCGTTTAAAACGCCTAAAACTTTTTCCCTTGTCGTATCGTAGGACACGAAGTGACCTTATGCTGGCATTTCGTATCTTTAATTATGATTTGAGTGTTAACACGTCTTAACTTTTTGCTCCCTCCAACACTAATGTTCTCCGAGGTCATAACAAGAAGGTTCTTAAACCACGATCTAATAAACTTGAAGTGGGGTCTCGTTTTTCCCATCGAGTAGTCAATGATTGGAATGCCTTACCCGAACAAGTGGTATCAGCCTCATCAGTGAATATTTTCAAGGAGAAGCTGGACCTTCACTGGAAAGCAACGTGTCAGGATTAACACAGGTTCACCAGCCTACTATCCTTATTACTGAAGACCGAAAACTCTAAATGACGTATCAATGTTTTTTGTCTGGCGTTCACCTAAAGAACATCACTATGTTGAACTTTTTAATTGTCGACCTATGACTCGCAGTACTTCAGTTTGTATGTTTATTCCTGTTATAACTCTTATCATTTCCTGTTAATTTTAGCTATAGTAATACTGAGTTGAACTCTTTTGGCAGTATTTCGATCTATACTTCTCGTTAGATAAAACTATCACAATTTTCTTAGCATGGGATTAGTTTGGAAAAACTTTCAAAGTTTCCTAGTGTATTAGGAAAGCACAGTTCATAGTCATATGCTCATGATATTCAGGTACAAAGTAAGCGTTCCATTTTCCTTTGATTTATCCTGGTAATCGTGACGCTTAGCTCCCGACTACAAAACAACATATTTCTATTTGGATTTATTTGGATGAAAACGTACAAAATGATGTTACCCATATTTGTTGACTATAAGTTTAAACAAATCCAACAACTTATAATCACTTCATTTCAAATAAATTGATTCCAGCCCT